TTACTTAACCCAAAATAACATCATAAACCCAGATCAAAGCGGTTTCACTCCTGGCCGCTCAACCCTAGATAACTTCGCCCGACTAGAACAAGATATTAAGACAGGACAACTAAATAAACAATATACCACAGGCATCTTCTTAGACTTCTCTAAAGCTTTCGACATGGTATGGCACGATGGGCTAATACAAAAACTTAAAAAAATAGGACTCAAAGGTCAGATAATAAACTACATCCAGGACTTCCTAAACAATCGTAAAATAACCGTGGGTATAGACCAAACTCTATCGGACCAATGTCCCCTAGAAAATGGTACTCCACAGGGCAGTATCCTCAGCCCCACCCTCTTCAATATAATGATAAACGATCTATTCGAGGGCCTATCCCCTAAAGTAAACACATCAAAATTCGCGGATGATGGAGCCATCTGGATCCGCACTAAAAGCATGAACATGGCCCAAAATCTACTCCAAAAATCTCTTAATAAAATACAACAATGGGCTGACAAATGGGGCTTCTCCCTTAACTCAGAAAAAACAACAGGAATAGTATTCAAACATAAAAACATGAAACCCGCCTCCCCAATCCTCCAGCTAAACAATCAAACAATCAAATTTCAAAAACAAACCAAATTCTTAGGACTTATTTTCGATGAACATCTCACCTGGGATGCTCACATCCAAAACCTAACAACTAAATGCAGTAAAGACCTAAACACCCTAAGATGCCTCACTGGCTCTAACTGGGGAGCATCCAAAGATACCCTCCTCTCTCTCTACATATCACTAATTAGATCAAAACTAGACTACGGCTGCGCCATATACAACACCCTAAACAACTCTCTATCTAAAAAACTTGACTCAATACAATATCAGGCTCTCAAACTAATTACACGCACCCAACATGGCACCTCCTACACCTCACTTCAGGCCTTAACAGGAGAAATGCCACTAAGTCTACGCAGGGAACAGCTAAGCTTAAATTTCTGGGCCGCGTCCCAATCAAACCCTCTCATCCAAAACTTAATAAACCAAAACATCAGCCCCAAAAACCAAGCTCTAGCTCGCAAACACCCCTTACTTACCCCAATATCCCAAAGAATAACAAACTACCTAAATGAACACCAAATTAAAAATCTTAAACAAAACTGCAAACAATCAAATATCTTCACCCCTAAACTTAAAATACCCAAAATAGACACAACACTAGCTAGCCAAATAAATAAACAAACCGACCCAAACATAGCTAAAACTACCACACTAGCATACATACACGAAAATTGGCCAAATTGGTGTCACATTTACACGGACGGATCCTCAGATCCGACCTCCAAACACACAGGTTTCGGAGTCCATACCACACAACCAACTAAAACCACACGATCCTTCCGACTCCCAAACAACCAATCAATATTCACGGCAGAACTAATGGGCATGGCCTCAGCCCTCCATAATCAAGAATCCAAAAAACACAAAAATATCCTAATACTTACCGACTCCCTAAGTGGACTGCAAGCACTCCAAAACAAAAATACCAAAAACCGACCTAAATTAATAAATCAAATACTTAAAAGCTCCAACGACCTAACTAAGGCAGGCAAACGAATAACCTTCTTGTGGATACCCGCCCACGTAGGAATATACGGTAACGAAAACGCCGATAAAGCAGCTAAACTATCCCTCAAAATCCCAGAAATAAGCTTAAACTTACCCATCTCAAAATCAGAAATTAAAAGTGAAAACAAGCAAAAAATCACCAAAAAATGGCATAACCTATATCTAAACTCAAATAGCCAAATCAAAAAAGTGCTCAGCAAACCACTAACCAAACCCAAAATTCTCCATCCATCCAAAAAAATCGACAGAGTAATCACTAAACTCCAAACAGGACACACCAACCTAAATAACCACCTAAAAAAATTTAAAAAACACACTACAGGTAACTGCCCACACTGCAAACAACCAGAAACCCCAGAACACGCACTCATCCACTGCACACACTACCTAACACATCGAACCGCATTACAAACCACCCTCAATCTAAACAAGGCTCTAACTCTAGAAGCAATACTAAACCCACAAAATAAACTAGAAAACTTCAAGGCCTTAGGCGTATTCTTAATAAAAACGGAACTAATAAAACGCATCTAAAAACACAATAACTCACCAAATCAAAATCACATAAACAAACAAACATCCACCATACCCAGCTCCCTTAGTTCTCCTCCCCAATCCCATCGGCATCTATTCCAAATCTCAAAATTCCCAAATTATATATAAGCAACCCCTAAAACCCCCCTCTTGGGTTGCACAGACCACCTTCGCCCCTTTCGGAAACACATTAAATGGCTTGGCCGGGCCCGTGTGCGAAATACGCATCAGTCGGAAAGCGCACGTTAAATCTCCAAAGTAAGTAAGTAAGTAAGTAAGTCCTCATTCAGTCTTGCTTGACAACGGTATAAGAATCTATACCGAAACGTCGCCTTTACAGTATTAAGGAAGTTGTTATCCATAAATTGTGTTGTGTTTGTAGTTGTTGCCAGCCCATCCTGGATTCAGTGTAGTCCCCCTTTCGTCATATGTTCATATGACAGAAGCAACAACCCATACAAAGTGTGTCAGATATAGTTGGTTCCAATTCCACTTGTGTTGGGAGTGAGATTCATTCAAGTTTGTTGGATTAGATGTAATCTTCAAGTTTCGTTTTCAACAAGGGGCCGGCCATCTTGGTGTGACAGGAATCAACAGGTGAGGTGGGGTGAAATGGGGTTTAACGTCGCGTCCAAGATAAAGACGTGCACGTGTGTGTGGCTGCTGGTCCTAGTTAGGACTAATGCCAATTTTATAGTGCTAGCCCACTGAAATACCATGTCTCAGTTTAATATGAATACCCCACTCAGACACAGCCTACTAACTCCGAGCCGACCAGTCCTTGTTTAATACCTTAATGCTGAGCACCAGACAGGGTAACAACAAGTACCATCTTTTAAAGTCTTGGTATGACCACGGACCTTGCGCCCTCCGGGCGGACGCTCTATCACTAGACCACAGAGGCGGTCTCGCGTCATGTGATGTATTAATGTCATTATATTAATACTTGTATGGTTTATTACAGAAAGTGGGTGGGCGGGTGTGAGTGTGAATGAGTGTCAATGTCAATGTCCAATTAAAGTACGAGTACCATAATCCATAATATCCATATGTCTAATATCAGTGTTACTTTTAATATCAACGTGCATAACAATCACTTCTGAAACTCATTTAATAACATTTTTTTTATTTTTCTGTATATATTTTCTTACGTTGACCGAGGCACTACCCCGGGTATTTGCTCTTATCTGTAACAGGGACTAAAAAAAAAAAAAAAAAAAAAATAATAATTAATAAATAAAAAAAATAAAGAAGTTGTGGATGTATGCAAATAGAGACGGAATGGTGTTTTTTTTCAGGTATATACAGTCTTCAAAAAAAGAAACGCACAGCTAGGAGGAAGTTCACCGAACCTGACTACACAAAAAATCCGGTACATTATTTGGATATATGTTGTTGTAAAATGTTGGTGGCCTGATGTTCAACAAACGGTGCGTCAAAACGCAGCCATTGTCAATTTGCAATGTCTTAAACGGCATTGTTTTCACACTTGTTTAAAAATGTCATGAAGGAAAACAGTAAAGCAAAATGCTTGTGCAAGTTATGACATTCGAAACTCGCGGTAGTGGCTATACAAAGGCAAGCATAAGCCAATAATTTGTCATTCAATTGTCAACATTTTTCAAGTTCGAAAATGCCGAGACTCAGCGCTGCCGATCGGAACATCGCCAAAGCCTTGGAATTTGAGAAACTGTAGACGAGTGTGGTTTAGCGACGAATCACGATTTCTTCTTCACCGGCGAGGTGGAAAACAATGTGTTTATCGTCGTCGAAATAAGGGTTTTGCCCCACATTGTGTACGTACGAGTACATTCGACAAATTCGGTGGCGGTAGTGTCATGGTGTGGGGGGCCATATCCTACACCACGAGATCTGACTTGGTTGTGGTTCAGGGAAATTTGACAGCAAATCGATACATGAATCAAACTCACCTTCTTCCAATCATGACCGTCAGAGGGAGCTGTTTCAACAGGACAACACTCCACCGCACACATCTCGTGTCACGGTGGACTACCTCCATAATGCCCACATCAACGCCTTGTCCTGGCCGTTGAGATCTCTAACCCAATCAAACACCTCTGGGATGAACTCGATCGACGTGTACGTCAACGCCAGAACACGCCGCAGACACTCCCACAACTGGCCAGCGCGTTACAAGCAGAATTCCGCAGAATTCCGCGGGACAGAATTCGTACACTTTTCCAGTCAGTGCCGAGGAGATGCAAAGCCCAGGACAGCGCAACCTTGTGGCCTTATGTGACATGACAATGAACAGTTTTCAATGCATTTGTACAACGACATCATGTGACTATCGAACTCTAAATTTGCATATTTGTATCTATGATAGTAATTAAATATATCGACTTTATTAGGTACAATAAATTTACTAAAAATCTACATGTGCGTTTCTTTTTTAATTGCAATACCCATCAACCATGACACATTAACTATAGTGAAAAACTGAGGTGTTCTTTATCTTGTTTGTGTGGTATATGTACACAGAGTAAAAAAAACGACAGTGTCCCAATCAAACACTGATAAATCGTTTATATAGTCGAATTTGATCTCGCCAGAGTGGGTCGGGAATAGTATCTAGGTTAACTTGGAGCGACACAATGGCGACAACAGATGAAGTGGGAATTTCCTTGTGTTGGAAATGAAAAGTGAAATTCACAACGAAGTAAGCCTCACTTTCCTGGCCTCGAAGATCATGACACGTCGATACTTCTACATGCCGCGTCATTTGGCGATTTGGGTAATTTTAGCCACTACGAATAGAGCGGGGGGGGGGGGGGGGGGGGGTCGTGCGTGCGTGTAAATACTAATTCCAACTGTGTTTTCATATGTCTACTTAGATGGCACTACATGCAGTAAACACTTCAGTATTTCGCAATCCTGTCTAATCTCGTACACCGAAAGTAGCTCGGACTTCATAATCACATGACGATATGACGAATCAGTCCCATGACGGCGACCACGTGACTAGGAGATACAGTGCCCAGAGAGAGGTACAAAAGCCAGCAAGTAAGAGACACTGTGATTGTTATTGTTTCACGGCCCTATTATTCAAAGGTAAGAGGGATTATGATAAAAGGATTGTTTAATTAATAACGTGGCATGACGTTTGTGGTCTGATTTGGAAATGAAATAAAAACTATTGAATATCGATTACCTTTCAATCCGATGTAAACCAATTTTAATTATGATATCACATTGACATCTTTTGGGGCGACATTAAATTAAACATTACTTTGTCAGTTCATTGTCCTGAAATAGGTTATTATTTGTTGTAATAATGTGGTGAATATCAACAATTTAGTGTCGCTCTACTCTGCTATCTATTTCCTTGATTGGGGGGCGTTACCTTGGTACATAACTCTTACCGGCTTGAATTACATTATACTGATAGAGTTGCTTCCCTTACACTGTAATTTTCAAATGGCTAGTACTATCGTAATACATTTTGTACTTCCAGTCGGAGACGCTGACTGAGATTAGGGTAATCATTTTAATTAAAATATAACAAAAAATTTAGTTAATATATTGTGATCACGAAATAAAGTATGAAACATAACTCTGGCGGTGGGGTAGCCTAGTGGTTAAAGCGTTCGCTCGTCATGTTGAAGACCCGGGTTCGAATCCTACATGGGGTGAACGTAAGAATCCAATTTCTAGTGGAATATTGTTAAAAGCGGCTTGAAACCATACTCACTCCGTACAATGTAATTCACAGTCCCAAAAGTTGTTCCTTATTTTGTTTTGACGTAAACATGTGTTGCAGCATGAGCTACCAGAATCTCCCCAACAACTACGGCTCCGGAGGGGCACCCCCCGCCGGCGCATACTACCAACAGCCTCAACCTAACACTGTGTGAGTACATCTGTAAGCTGACACCTCTCTTATTGTTGACATACAGAGTTGTTGACTTAATACACATGCCCTGTGGACCCTACCATTGATACAGAAGTACTGCCTCTGTAGAACAGAATCATAAAGTATTGTTAATAAGGAGAGTATTACACTCACATGCGTAAGATTCTCTCCCTCTCTCTCTGTCTGTCTGTCTGTCTGTCTCTCTCTCTTACTCTTTCTCTCAGTATGCCTGTCTGCCTTTCTGTCTGTCTCTGTCTGTCTGTCTGTCTCTGTCTGTCTGTCTCTCTCTCTCTCTCTTACTCTTTCTCTCAGTATGCCTCTCTGCCTTTCTGTCTGCCTGTCTGTCTCTGTCTGTCTGTCTGTCTCTGTCTGTCTCTCTCTCCTCCCTTTCTCTCTCCTCCCTCCCCTCCTCTCTCTCTGTGTCTTTGTTTCTCTCTGTCCCTCTCTCTGCGTCTCCCTGTCTCTCTGTGTGTGTGTGTGTGTCTCTCTCTCTCCAGGAAACATGCACTCATTCTGCCGCACCAAGACGCGAAATTAACGCAAATGCCAACTCGGTTTCCTGTTTATTACCATCAAAGTGAAAGTACGACCTGCAATTAAAGAAATATTGTTAGAAACGGACGTTTTGATGTGGAGTTTATGTTATCCGTTATTTGTATATATTACTTTGAACGTTGAAAGAACAAGACCTTATACAAGAAGCAGGAGCGTGGGTGATAGGAGAGTGGGTTACATGCACGCCTGATTATAATGTCCGGGTCAAGGTGACCCGGTCCCCCTTGGTATGATGATTATCACGATGTGCTTCATTTGTGGTTTCTGTAAGTGCAAGTCGAGAAACTTGGGAGGTGCCATGTTTGAAAAAACACGAACACGGGTGCCTTTGCATGTATTTGTGACGCGTGACGATGGGACAGGATACGCTGACCTTTTTGCAAACAAAAGTGTCATCACTATTTCATAGTGATTCATAAACATATGCTCATGATATATAGTCGGAATCGTACAATCGAGATTTCTTATGAATATGGAAAAGCCTCCCTCTCTCTCTCTCTCTCTCTCTCCATGTTGTAAGGTAACTCTTACTGTTTGTATTTTAGGTACGTTGTCCGCGACGAACACCACCATCATCACCACGGCCACCACGACCACCACGACCACCACCGCGATGAAGAAGTCGCCGCTGACTGTTGTCTCTTGGCTTGCTGTTGGACAGTGCTGTGTTGTTGCCTTGCTGCAAACTGACCAATCGTAAACCTGGCTGGTAACGACCAACCAATCACAAACCATTTAATATGCAGGTGCAACGAGTTCAATCTCTGTTGCCTCGTGGGTATTCTTGAGTATTTCATGCCCAGAATTTCATTTGGAACCGATGGTGTTAGTATCCATATCGCCCAACGTTTTTTCGCTTTTTTTAAAGTTTAGGTTTGAGTAAAAAGATATTTATGAAGAAAAGTATTTCGAAAGATCCAATCCCATTTTACTACGTTTTTCAACCAATGATATTGCAGCATCCACTCCCATGTTGTATAATTGTAAACTTTAATAGTAGTGTTCCTCCTTGTTGTATATAGTAATCTACTGATGTACATATTTAAATTTCCCCGTCGCTTGTGACTAGCTTGTTGTTGTCATATGGTGTGAGGAACACGTCCAATATATATCGTTTTCATACGAGAATATTTTGACGACGCAACTCGGTTTGGTGTGTCCTGTGTAGATATAGAGGGTGTTCTAGTGAAATGTGTTGAACTGTTATATTGTTTAAGTAGGAGAGTAATTTACTGCTAGATTAATGTTTGTGCTGTTTTAGTGATCCATTCTTACCTGGGACCATGGGCGAGTGTGAGAGAGTATTGATCGGCGGTTATAATAATACCACTTGCTTGACAACGGTATAAGGGTCAATACCAAAACATAGATATTACAGTATAATAAAAAAACTTGTTATCCATAAACTTTTGTCTACTTTGTCATCCGTCAACTTCTAAGAAATGCCTCTCAATTAATTCCAGGAAGAAGTTTAATACTTTGGCAGCACATGCACAAAAGTGTAGGTATCTCATTTTCACCAGAAATATCTACTAACGTTCCATTTTAATATATTTTTCGACCGCCGCCGTGATCTAGTGGTAGAACGGAAGGTCCGTGGTTCGATCCCCGGCCGCGTCTTAACAAAGGACGTTGAAATATGGTACTTGTTGTTAATGAGTAATGTCGATTTTCCCCTTATAAATCAACCCCAAAAGAGCAAGAGCAAAGTTTCATTGTTCTTTTCATACTCTGATAGAGGCATATTTTGTCTTCACTCGATTCTATTGTGATTATCGTAACTACTACAGTATTTTATTCAAAGCTAAAACATACAAATGAATGACGATAACTGTAACGTCACTTCTGCCCAAGCACGACTCCCCTACCAGGGGATAACACCCATCCGGGTTAGAATTAACCTTCAGCAACCCATACTTGTCGTAAGAGGCGACTAACGGGACCGGGTGGTCAGGCTCGCTGTCTTGGTTGATGCATGTCATGGTATTCCAATTGCGTAGATCCAAAGCCTTCAACATGTAATAGACAAGACCTGTGAAGGTCGGGTTAGAATAGGTCTCGAGCAACCCATGATTGGCGTAAAAGGTAACTATGCTTGTTGTAAGAGGCAACTAACGGTATCGGCTAGTCAGGCTTGCTGACTTGTTTGATGCATGTCATTGTATCCCAATTGCATAAATTGATGCCCATGATGTCAATCACTGGATTGTCTGGTCCAGACTCGATTACTTTTAGACTGCGGTCATTTAACTGGAATATTGCTGAATGCGGCTTAAGACAACAAACAAAAAAACCATCATTGCATCAGCGTTCTGACAATATTCACTACTTCTTCACGTTGTAAACGTCTTTGGTGTCAGCTAAAGTGATCAGAAGGGCATGGATTTGATACCAGACGGTTGGATCAGTTACCCAGTGACATGCAGGTGGTCGACATAGTTCCACCACACAACGGGAAGATCAGGTTTCTCCTGATAGCAGGAAGATGTCAACACTTCATGACTGCCACCACACTCAGTAATGACCTTCGGAACGGACAGTGGGTAATCGTCTCCATGAGGCTGAACTCTGGTTAAATTAGTATATATCCCAGTGTGCTGGAGTCTTCACTGACACATGATACTGCTGTACCACTTTGGTGAAACCCATCAGCCTATGGTGCAAATACACCAAGGATGTACCAAGTCGAATATCGGATTTACAGCCAGGGGATCTTGGCACATCTATTGGTTAATATCTAAGACATGGAGTCAATCTTAGTGCCTCTGGGTGGAGGAGTACTCAAACGTTGACTAGTATATATGACATAACTTAACAAAAAAAGTGAGTGAGTGAGTGAGTTTGTGTTTAAGTCTCTTTTAGCAATATTCTAGCAATATCACGACGGGGGACACCAGAAATGGGCTTAACACATTGTACACATGTCGGGATTTGAACCCGGGTCTTCAGCATGATGAGCGAACACTTTAACCACTAGGCTACCCGACCCCCCCCCCCCCCCTCAAAGTTAAAAAAAAACAAGCAAATGTTTTAAATTTTTAATAATTTACAAAAATACGCTAACATGACAATACAGGGTCCTTGTTGCGAGACACAAGACTTTCACTCTTTGATAGGGTATCCTTGAACCATGCATGAACCATACAGACAGTCAAACTCAACAAAAAGTCTGTTTCACACAGAGCAAAACAAGCAATAAAGAATTCATCTGTTAACAGTTTTCCTTCTCTGAGTCAAGATACTATCAACTTATTTATTCATTCATAAGATCTAACCATTTTCTGTGCATAGAAACAAGATATCCCTGTGATATCAACGAACATAGGTCATATTTTGTAACTTAAACATGAAATAAACTTTATCTAGGATTCACAAAAATAACATAAAATTCTAATCATCTTCAAATCTCTTAAAATATTAAAATGAAACTCTATTATATAGACATAACAAACATGATTTCACATAAGGTGAATTCATCTGAACACCCCCTCGCTTCTACTGCATCTGAACAAGTTGTCAAACCTCCAGCATGACCTCTGTCATGTAATAAGTTGTATTCAAGATAGTATCTGATTAGTGAGATATTTCACTTCATAAAACAGTCAATAGACAATTCTAAAGCTTTCAATATTTTCTAGGATTATCAAAAGCGTCAAACAGACAGAATGAAGGACGATTAAAAGACACTTCTCAAAGCCTATTTAGGTAATTTGTGACAAAGTTAAATGAAATTGACTTGTGAAAGAAAGCAAGCATTTGTAACAATAATAGATCATCTAGCATGAACACTAATTAATAAACATTAATCTATCATATAAAATTCATATGCAACAACAACATTTAATTTTGAGTAGTAAATGCATTTTGACATTTGTCAACTAACACCTAATATAAAAGAACATATATCATCTGGGTCAATATGTTTTATAACAGTGCATCAGAACAATAGCTTTCTAATAAAACACTATGCTTTAAAACTTAACAGATAAACTATATGGACTGAGGCACTTTTTAAACAAAGGCACTGCCCTCTTAAGTGCATCAGGGGAGGTAAGTCGCCAAAGATTCTACCTTTTCAGAATACAACATTAAAATACGGAAACCTTGCTTGTGTGCCAGAATGCAAGAAAAGCTTGATCATATGATAGATATATTTAGTTAAGATTCTGTGCCAAATTGTAGAAAAGATTAACCTTTTACAAACCTATTTCAGCAAATATGTTACACTTATCATGTTTTCAAACTAATTTACAGATATCATCAAAAAGGTTCGTGTTATTTTTCCTTAAAGAATGCACAGAATTCAAGTTTGTAATGTTGCCAAGGTTACAAGTTTTCATTTTCAAGAAAAATGTGAATCACACAAGGTATGAAGATGGGTGCTTGCTTTGTAATCCAATAGGAGAAACTGTCAAGACAGGGTCCCACTTGTCTAGATGTGAGATAAAACTTTTGTTTTGTTTTGATGCTAGTTTAGGCAACAATCCTAAATAATAAATGACTTGGATATAAAGGGGTTTGTTCGTAACAGTCAACATACATGATAGAAACTTGTATGTATTCATAACAAGCATAAAAAGACTTCAAGAAAAGACTTCAAGTATCATAGAGCAAGCAAGCATTCCATGAATCATATTCACGAGTAGTTTGTTCAGGATTAACACCTTTGTCCGTCCAAAGCAGTACAATTGAAAGTTTACAATTCAAATCGTGTAAAATTAACAATTTGAGGTTTGCAAGACTACAAATGTGAAGTATTTCAAACAATCCCATTAGCTCATTTCAATAAAAATGCCCCGATGAAATATTATGCTGGATCAAAACTATACCTTGATATTATGTCTATTTTACCATCATGACTGTACAAAGCCATGTCTGAGATTCAAAGCAACGCGATATTTCCACATCCATATAATTTGATGAAGAATATTTATCCACCTAATCTGAAGGTCGTACACCAACTCATAGCGGAACATGTTCGTAGCTCACCTGCAATGAACCTATTTTTTTAAAAAGTATTTTTCTTATGTATGTCCTGAAAAGACGATACTTTTTTTGTCATCTAAGTCCCATAATTTCACTTGCAGCTCTGACATTTCTACCTCATCTGGAATTAGTTGTCAAGAAAACACTTCTAAATCTCTACTACAAACAAGTATGTTATTTTTACCAAAGGTGCAGTGTTAATGCATTGCAACATGATCTTTGTTGTGGACTGGGAATATGCCTATGCAGGCGGGAATATGCTTGCAACACTAGTTTTAAACAATGTAGGACTATCCTGCTAATGTACAATATTTTGAAAGTCAATAAGAATAACAATTCTACATCATTCAACAAATAAGTCCAATAGATACTGCAATTTGCAAGTTTACTTGGAACTAAAAATAACATCTTATCATTTTTAAAATAGATTCCACATAAATAACTATTAAAAACGTTTCAAATTTTTCATTGGTTTTACATTAACACATGCTGAATGTAAATATAACATACATATTTCCTCCAATAAGTACCAGCCTGTTCAAGTGCTGGTCATGGCACAGTATTACTGAAACAGCTTGTGTCTTCCTATTAATCCATTTTCATGACATTTCATCATTAATTAAACCAACAACTCATAATTAGTCATGATTTCTCAATGCATCTGTCCACAATCACTACTATTGTGAAGAGACTTTAAATTTACCGTATTCGACGTAATAAGCGCCCGCTCTAATAAGTGCTGATATATTGGCTAGTGAACAATCCCAATTAGCACCCCTTCAGACCCCTATTCACATATAATACACACCGCTTCCTTCCCCTATTCGCGTATAATACGCACTCGTGTGTTATATGCACCTTTTATTATTGGCTATTAAATCCTGGAAACATATATCTGTCATACATAAACATTACCGGCTGTCAGCATAAACCACGGAATTTATCTTTCAACTCTTTGGTGTTTTTGTCACTAAAATAATATTCTAATAAGAGCCCCCTATTTCTAATTTTGAGAGCGCTTATTACGTCGAATACTGTATTCTTGACATTAACTCTATGTACATACAAATGTAACAACTTCTGTAACATACCTATGTCAAAAAAACAAAAATGTTTTTTTTAAGTAAATAAATGTGTGCATAATCATCTCAAAATATTAATCAGTTCCAAATAAACATCACATCTGAGGAGTGGTTTAAAAGCATCAACACCTAGGTGCTTATCAGAGGAATTACGATACTTACTCTGGAGCCAGGCGTTCCTTCTAACCCTCACTAACCCTAACTTTAGGCCATAATAATAGAATTATTGAAATCCCATCATCTTTCATCTGTCAAATAGATGAAGAAGATTGCTATTCATATTCCCTTCTGAATTTAATGATGAAATACACCATATAAACTGCCGGGCAAAAGAAAGAACACACCCATGTTTGATGATGGCTAAAATGACAAACAAGAAATGGTTATTCAATGGTGATGTATTCGATACTGGTATCATAGTTCTGTATGGGCTTAAGTTTGCAATGTTTCAGCAACCCTTTTAAGCTTAGTAACATTTTGATGACGTTTGTAATATTTTGGTCAAATTCAATTTTCAAGTGTACTTTCTTTCGCTCAGCAGTTTACAGTCACATCTATCAACATTTATTGTACACAGATCCCTTGAACAGTTTGTTTAAAACAAATAAAAATGCCTCTCACCTCACATTTTCAATAATATTAGATGAAATCTAATTAATTTCTTATGGCCACTGTACACATTGTAACATTCAAATATAGTGAGTGAGTGAGTGAGTGAGTGAGTTTGGTTTAACGCTGCTTTTAACAGTATTCCAGTCATATCTCGGCGTGTCAGCTTAATGTGGGAGGAAAGCCCGAAGTGATGCAGGTCTCAGACATTTACCACTTCGGTGAAACCCATGAGCACGGGTATGGTGCTGACAAACCTAGAAACATAATCGGGGGGAATCGGGAATCGAACCCACAATCATAGGTTTTTGGCGTGCCCAAGGGACGACGACTGGGCCACCCGTGCTCCCCATTCAAATATAAAAAATGTTGTCAGGTGAGCAGGCGTCAAATATGTAGAATATCCTAATAAGACTGCATGGGGATATACATTATAAAAGTCAATCAAATATTCTAAAAAATAATTAGTGCTCTTCTAAAATACCATAGCATTTTACTCCAAGCATAAATTTCTAAATATCCCAATAAATGTTTTATTGTAAAATTGTAAATTTTAAAATTCAGTCTTTTGACATGTTTCACAGATCTCCACTGAAAGGTGCTAACAAACAAACACCAATTGTGATGAACAGACGAAAACTGACTCAAATCTTAAATGGAACTTTTAAAATTCTACACTACTTCAATCAATATCAGATTGACACATCAGTATTTGCATAAATTTATAAAATCACCAGTCAAATGCTGTAACACCACTGCCGCTTCCTGGGAATAGATTCGTCATGAAAAATACTTACAGTTTTTTACCAAGGAAAAATCCATTCACGCCATCCTCAATCAAACGTTTGAACACTGACATCTAGCACAATAACAACAAAGAGACAAAAATATACACTTTTATAAATAATATGATAACTTACAATTTGTTTTCTTAAAACAACAACAAAAACCTTCGTCATAAGTGCATTTCGTCAAACGTGGTGTTGACTCTGATTTTCAGTGATCCATTCATATTTTGTTTATCACTATTCTATCTTTTATGCCCAATGGAATTGGTTTTGACAGATAATCAAGACAAATTATTCCCAGGCAATTCAATAGTACATAATATTTATTCTCATATTTTCAAGGGCAATCTATTGACCATTTCATTCTGATTGATTATTTGCAGTATTTAACCAAATTGGTGATATGTTCTTTAAGTCAAGCTAAGCGAGTCTCACTGATAACCTTATGTTCATATTTAATTAAAGTAGTACCAACTCAGTGAAATGCATCCATCAAATGTATTCTATCAAAGTGATGTTTAATTTTGACAATTACAAATAACAAAAATGTCCTTGGAAACAAATTCTTAACAGAGTGTCTTTTTAAATTATATTAAATTAAATTTGAGGCAGCAGTGTCCGGATGAAATGAAAATAAGTTAGTAGGTCCACGATCTGATCGAAGATACCTTTTCCTTAAAGGAGCATTGAGTCAGAGCTCCAGAAAAGTAAATATACAAAATAAGCCATCATTACCCAATTAATTTTGAGTTGCTTGCCCACAAATATGCATGACATGCATTGTCGGTAATTACCCGATGTATATCTTTTCAACTTGCATACCTATATTTCTTAACAGATCTGATCGAAATGTAGCCATCATATAAACGTGAACTCGAGTTTACTGCTGTGAATATGCATTAACAAGATGCTTCATCTTGCTTATTTCTAAAAATACATGGTTACCGCTGTAGTCGAGTTTATGTTTCTCACTTGGGACAGCACACCACCAGATACAAATTAGAAGTCACCTCATACACCATCTTCAGTAGAATAAGTTAAAAAGGCTACTCATTGGTGTAAAAATTCCCTGTACACTGGACCAAAGCGCATAAAAATAAATTGAATATCCATAGAAAACTATCAATACCCAAGTGAATGATATCTTGTTCGTAAATACTCAATGGCCATAAGCATTATCTGGAGCCCTGGTGAATGGCATAACACTTGCTTTGTGACTACAGGACATTTCTTCAAACTTAAACACTTGTGTCATCACTGATTTTCATTGATCCATTCTTATAAATTTTCATCATTATTTTGCCTTTTAAGTCTAGTGGAATCTGTTTCTAAAGGTAATCAAGACTTATTATCATTTCTGTGGCATTGACTCTCTAAGAATGGTATGAATTGTTGAACCATGGCCCAAAATCAGGAACGAATACAATCATAATCCTTTCACTAGAATACCACTGACCAACTTTGCATGTGCCATATGCATTGACTATAAACCTGTTTGGTGGATCACAGATTCTTCAGAGTGGGACATTGACATCAGCCTCAATTTAGGGACCTTTGATTTGCGAGCTGTAAGTGTGTGAAATGTGTGTGAAGACCAACAGCGATAGTTTGAGTATGAAGCTGGGTTTAATGTCACGTTCAAGATCATTGCACTTCTATAGCGACATGCATGCAAACTTGTCGGTTTGTTAGTGCTAGATCAGTGAGGTACCATGCCGCAGTTTAACATGGATATCCTACTCAGACACAATATACGGACTACGAGCAACAAGAACAATCTTTTCAAGTCGAGCCACTGACCTTCTGCTCTTGGGCAGACGTTCCATCAACTGGACCACTGATGTAATCTTGTGTATCAAGGACATTGGACAGATTTCTAAATTTTTATGCAATCAGCATAGAATGAATGATTTTGTGAAATAAGATTTTCAAAGTATGCATCATATTAAGAAATTAACATGAATTTGGAATCATTTACTTCCTCATTAATAATGTAACAAAGCGTCAACAAATCTGTGATCCAACAATAAAAAGTAAAATGGCCCTATACTCATTTAGTTACAGGAGGCTGAAACCATGAAGATAACTGGATGTCAAGCACTGACTGATCTCAACCTCAACCTCAACCTGGAGGGAGTTTTTAAAGAATATTAATGTAAATAATTGGTACCACCTGGAGTTCAGAATCCATTTTATTGTTTTTTTAAAGAAAAAACAATGTATTTCTCAAGATTACTTTTACTCTTACTTTTTTAGCAAATTGTGTGAATGGCGGAAGCACCAGCCAAAACAGGACATGTTTACCTTTTTTGCAAACACCCGGTGTCATTACTGATTTTCAATCATCCCTTCATATGTTTCAATGCTATTTTGCCTTCTACGCCAATGGAATACGTTTCGGCAGATATATACTTGATAATGCCTTAAAATCAAAATGTGTATTAATTCTTGAGAAATAATTTCTTAAATGTATTACTACCTATGTAATTTTTTGATATCGTTGGAGTGCATTTGTTGTATGTATATTCACAGGTAACTTGTTTTTTCTTAAGCATAAAAACGCACACTAATATTGTGTTAAGTTCTCATTGTGTTAATATGTATCATGTTTTTTCTTTGTGAAATTGCAACATTCCTATTTCAATATATACACACCTGTAAATATAAAGAACAATCGAAACCGTTTACATCATTCACAGAACATAAGATGAAATATACAACGAAATGACATCATCAATTTCAAATGATAATTTACAATGGCAAAAAAATATTAAACATATTAAGTGCATTCAAGTATGTTGAATGAATCACAGCTGAGAATCATAACATTATATGGCATAACTTTATACAACATATGTCTATAAAAGGAATTAACTTAAATTGATTTCACACAACACAAGAAATTAAATAACACTGTATGACCATTATATACACAGAGATGAAAGTGGATGCTGAAATACATTACTACAATGTACAAACAACGATACCTACAGCATGGCGATGTCCACAACAACACCACGTCATTGTTCATTCTTCTTTCATTGGTCATTAACACGTCATTATTACCCTTGTCATTAACAATGGATTAGAACAAGATACTGTTCACACAGGCATGGTTGATACAATCTATTAACTTTATCGTCATCCAAATATTCTAATATACTTAACAAAAATTTACCATGAATAATTGTGCGGATATTTTTTTGTAGTGAAGACTGAGGACACAATTTCATAAACATATCTCCAAAATTATTCATGTTCTAAACTACTTTTGTTAAGCATACATAGAATTTTCTGTAGAGGTGCAACAATTAATTTCAGAATTAAACTGAATTTTGCATATTTAATGATATTATGAAATGACTATAAATAAAAGCATAAAGATTTATGTCTCCATTATTCTTTATCATTTAACAACACAATATAATAAATACATAAAGTATAAGTACTTAATATTACATTAAATAAATTTCATGAAATTTTAATCAACCTTAATATATGAATCACAAACCTTAACTGGTATGTTCTCTATCCAATTTGAATGTCATTGGCTTCTGTAACTTATTCAGAAATGGAAATAAAAATTATTTGATAAGTTGCAATTTACAAAACATAGCACTTAAGTGTACATGTCTGTAACCACTGATTCTACCATCAGGTATAGATGATTAGAAATTTTCCAATAGTAGCCTTAAAAAACAATGGTGCCTCATAACCATTTGTTCAACTCTTATATTGAATGGCAGTGGGAATATCATTAAATGCTTAAGAACAGGGCACCATGAAGGGTCTTTCTATAAGATAATTAAATGGTCATAGAATATAGATGAAAGCATTTGCCTTTCACTCATCTTGGTCCTGGGTTCTGCCATGGAACAGTATCTTTCAATGCCATTATCTCTGTCGTCAAAGCACTAGGGCCAAGCCAATACACAGAGAGATAGTCAAGACTTGGGCCACATATATTCGTAAATTCACTGTTGCATTGTTAGAACACAAAATGGTGCACAATGGTTCTTAGTCTCATGGTATTCAAATAGTTCAGAGACCATGTATATCAAGGGAGGTGGGAACACTGGTGTAACACTGAATATATATGATCCAGGAACATATATATATACTGTCTCAAAACATGCAGAAGATTGGGAGAGTCATATAAGGAAAGGTCCTAGGTCCTTGGATGTGAGAACAGGATACGCTTCATACGCTGAGGATTTGGACATTGAAGACCTATCTGCACTTGTTCATGTCATCATAAACCCAGAGAATGTGGACAATGGTATCACGGCCCATCCTGTGTGGCCCAGGTACGTCATTACAGAGCCAGAGAATGTGGACAATGGTATCACGGCCCATCCTTTGTGGAACAGGTATGTCATTACAGACCCAGAGAATGGGGACAATGGTATCACGGCCCATCCTTTGTGGCCCAGGTATGTCATTATAGACCCAGAGAATGTGGACAATGGTATCACGGCCCATCCTCTGTGGCCCAGGTATGTCATTATAGACCCAGAGAATGTGGAAGATGGTATCACAGCCCATCCTTTGTGGCCCAGGTACGTCATTATAGACCCAGAGAATGAGGACAATGGTATCATGGCCCATCCTTTGAGGCCCAGGTACGTCATTATAGACCCAGAGAATGTGGACAATGGTATCACCGCCCATCCTGTTAGGTCCAGGTTTGTCATTATAGATCCAGAGGATTGGGGTGTACTATACTAAGATTCCACCCAATGTGGTCCAGCCACATCATCGCAGGTGCTGATGATGAGGAAAATGATATCAGTGCCAATCCTTTATGAATGATCCAGATAATGTGGTTGTATGATGCTGGGATCATCCTTTGTGGTCCATTCACATTATCATAGATGTGGAAAAGAACTCCAGGATCTGTTCTGGGAATATGGAGGAGGATTCTGGTGATACAAGACAATCATATAGGGATGGGATCCTGGTCTTCTCTGATGTCCTTCAGCAGTTTTTGATATACAGCACTGTTCTTGGTGGGGCTGAGAGGCAGTTCATTGGGTGGGTGAGGATGAATGTACTGGTCCTCCAGGTTCTGAGAGTCTGTGTTGGGAGGAGAATATGCATAATGACCGGGAGACACCGGCATCCCGTGTTCATCCCACGACAGGCCAGTCTCCGTCCCATTGGGGAGGATGGGGAACTCAAAGTTTTCCATGGAGGAGCTAGGGTGGGTATCTGGACTGCCAGTAACACTGCTGCTTAAACTGTCAGGATTGTCTTTGTACAATGGCTCAGTACTGTTCCTAGAATCCTGAGGACCACTGTCAAGAACAACACTTTCCACTGTCGGTTGTGAATCTGATTTATCAAGGTCCAGAGAGTCGAAACTCTTGTCCCGAGATGGTGCCTGATCCTCCTCATCCTCACTGATATGCAACCGCGTCAGAGGGCTTTCCTCTGTTGGTTCTTCTTCACTTTCTGACTCAAAGTCCAAAGACTTACTTGGGGGATACATATAACGCTTTGGATGGTTTTGATCATCTATTGGCTTTTCCACATCATCGGCAGGTTCATCAGTTGGTCTGTGTCTATCCTCATTGTCAGTGGAAGGTTCTAGTGCAGGAGACTCCAGGTCAACCACTACAGGATCTTCAGCATTCAGGGGCTCTATATTGTCAAGTTCTCCTTCGGGAATGTCCATGTCGTGCATAGTTGGTGGCGGTCGTCTGTAGGCATGTCTGGTTCCGCCCTTGATGTTCCCATCGGAATAACAGTTCCGGGGAAGCTTCTGCATCTGGATACAGTCAGGCTCGTTCATTCCAGGCTGATCGAACTCTTCTTCATTATCACGACCTTCATCCAACGATACAGCTTTCAACCGTGTCCTTGACCCTCGTGATGACGCCCTTGACCTTCGATCTGGCCCTTCATTACCATGGTTAGAAGCAGGGTTGGGTGCAGCCCCTAGGGGTTGGGCCTGACGTCTCATCTCTACTGGAGGGTCATCATGTGTGTTGGGAACCCCATAGGGGTTGATGACAGGGTAGATATTGGGGTCACTGTATGGGGGCGAGTTGTCATTATTCAAGTAGTTATCTGTCTGTGTATGCTGAAAATAAGGCAAAGTATATTCAATATATTATACTTTATCATGAACAATTATCAAAGATAATGATACTTATTCTTCATTTGATAACAAAATTACATTACATTCCACACTAAAGAACATCATATTAAAATAAATGGATGGTCAGTTAAAATTCACTACATGCCAAGTCCCTGATTTGAAAAACCCTACTTAAGTTACAAAGACGCAAGCTAAATGATGACTTAAAGTAGAGTACCAACCTTTAATTATCCATATATATTAAATTTGCAAACTTACATTCTCTTTTACCCTATGTACAAGTGGATTTGGAGCATCTACATCATCTAGGAGAGGACGATATTGATTTTCTACTGGAATGTTTCTTTTTTTTTTTTGATCCCTCCTTTTTTCCCACTTTTTGCGTTGCCGCCTGAAACAAAAAATTAAAATTTAAAATCCATAAATATAAATTGAGGATTTAAACATGTTTAATGCAAATGTAGGAACAATTATAGTTAACTTGATCATCATGAAGCAGGAATGCTGAGAGTATGTCATGAAAAGAAGTTCTATACAACTGAAAATGTGATAAATTGGGGATTTAGTGTCGAAATAATTGTTGATGGTATCTGGATGCCTGACACTGTCTGAAGACCAATTATCAGCTGTGTGGTTGCGATAATGTCAATTACGTTTTACACATGTTGATAAATCATAAGGGTAGGTAACTCTCAGAAGGGGAGATAACGTACATTCATACCAAATATAGATGTCACATCCCTGACTGTAGCTCACAACACAGCCGTTGGCTTCTACACATTACTACACACGATATTAAAACAAAAGGTAGATAACTCTCACAAGGGGAGGTAACTCACCTGGCCATGAAGTATGACACGATGCATATTGCAATGAAGACCAAGGTTGCAATGGCGATGCTAATGAAGATGATAGTACGATCATGCAAAAGTTTTGCTTGTCCTAAAAATAAGAAACAAAATATTAGTACCAAACTTGATAATACATGAATAATATTTGCACTTATCAAATACCATTTGCAGACTTACAACACATATCTCTAGAGACTTGAAAGAGATTTTTTCTAAAAAATAATAACCAAGACCTTGTTCTACATAAACTATATTACTTATGAACTGCATCTCAGATGGTGAGTACCTATCTCGAGAAGTCAAATTATAATTTCATAAAAATACTAATAATTGAGCACCTGATTGTCTTTGCAAAAAATATAATTTGAGCTCCTAAACACTAAAAACAAATGCTGACCTCAAACCAGAATCTGCCACTTGGTTTATCATTATCTTAACATGTCACAAATACCCTTTTGCTGAAAGACCCATGATTATACAGAAACCAAGACATCTCAAGCAGTATGCCAATCTTACAATGAATAATTTCATTTTAATGAAACTGTAATGTATTGTCAAGTTTGTATAAAGCAGCAATAAACTGTTGAGTCTAGGTCTGCTTTAAATGAATAGCATGGACCTGATTGCACCAGTTCTGTTCAGTGGTTGAGTGAAGTCTATAGCCATGCCTACTCCAGGTCAGTGGACAACACACAGGTTTACCACCTCGTGGTAAATCTACACTATCCAATCAGATTGCAATTTCTAGGAGTGAGTGAGATGGGTTTAATGCTGCTTTTAACAGTATTCCAGTTATATCATAGCGTGTCAGCTAAATGTGGGAGGAAAGCCCAAAGTGATGCAGGTATCAGACGTTTACCACTTCGGTGAAACCCACGAGCACGGGTATGGTGCTGACAAACCTAGAAACGTATTCGAACCGGGATTCGAACCCACAATCATAGGTTTATGGTATGTCCAAGGGATGCAACTCTGCACAGTGAATCACGGCGCCTTAGACGACTGGGCCACCCGTGCCCTCAATTTCAAGGAGATATCCAAACACATCTGCAACATTTGAACCTGGGCTAGGTCTAGGTTTTTCAAGTGATGGAAGACATATCCACAGAAATGACTGACTGACTGTTATTTCATGCAAGCTCAATCCTCAATATATCTGCAGCTTCTTATTTTTCATAACCAAGTATAATTTCCATGTTTTAGTTCCCCCTTAAATTGACAATTATTGCTAATAACATCTCTTCAGTATGTTCCAGGGTGCCGTTGTACAAAGCGATCTTAGCGCTAAGGTGATCGTAACTCCCATACCTTAACATAGACTTATGACAGTTGTAGCGCTAAGGTTGTTTTGTACAATTGCACCCTGGTCTTTTCAAAACACTGAAAAACATTTTATGGCTAACTAGCTTACATGCAGTATAATGTCTGTCTGTGAATTAAAACTATCTCTACCATTAAAACCATAATTTAACTTATTTAAAATGCCAAGTATTGTTTTTGAGTACTAAAAAAGTCAGTATCTCTAACCCGGTGAACCTAACTTGACTGACAAGTACAATAGCAGACTGAACAGCAAGGCAAATAACATCAGAAAATAAAATAACGTCTACGTACACAGAAAGCTGATACCTCAATAAGTTGTAAATTTGACACAATCGGTATGTCACTGCCCACTCTTATACATTGAATGCTACTCTAGTCACAAAGTCTGTACAAATCTCTCCGAAATTCAATAACCTCTTATTTCGTACTGTCATCAAAAACCTCTTAACACATGTCTGCATCAACTGCTCAGTGTCTTGGAGCCTAGACTGTCTCTGGTGTAAGATGCAATTACCAGTATGTCAGTACTCAACTCTTGTGACCATACATGGTAAATACGCATCACAGACAACTTAATTTTCCTTCTGCCACAATTCACAATGTATTGTATCTTGGCCCAACACTGCATATCAAATGAATGTCTACAATGTTCAAATTTAGACGATAACCATCAGTGTTCGAGTGGCTTATTGTGTGAGGAAAAGTGGAACAATAAATGAAGTACGACCGTTGGTCTTCAAGAGGCCCTACTTCAATTTGAGGAAACACTTCAGTAGGTCATTCAAGGTCAAACACCAGTACTTTAGAAAACTTGCTTCTATATTAAGTATAACAGTGTTACATAGCATTAAATATAATTGGGTAACAATACATTACTTTATATACAAATAAATGGCCGAGTTTAATTTTTTTCAATAACCTTTGTTCTAGAATCCTGTATACTGAAACATTTTGAAAACACATACCAGTAGTGGATTTTGGCTCTTGATAAATAACAAGTGGAAGCTTACATCCAGGTATAACAACATGAATATAACTTGATCAATATTTTGAAAAATGATCCACACCGTTAGGGAACAATAACCTGCCATCAACCTGCCATCAACAGTCATTGACCACCTGATCCATTAATAAATGCGACAAAACCCTTTTGATATCCAGATCCATTAAGTCACGTCTTATGCCTAACAGAGGTTCTGGGGACAATTGGAACCAACTCGTTTTTTTTGTAGTTAGGGTCATCATCAACTGCCTGATTATATTTGAGTTTACAGACAAAGTTAGTCTTGAGTAACTTGAATCAAACTGGAAATTGATCCAAGCCTTGTCCTTTTTACCCAAGCCATATGGCCATTTACACCAGATGGATTCTGTTTAGTCGGATAATCTGGCACCGACATTTTATATACATTTAAAGTTGACTAATGATGATCTAATGCTAATCAGGTCTTAACACATCGATATTTGATAATGACTTTAAATACCATTTGGTGAGTGAGTGAGTGAGTTGGGTTTAATGCCGCTTTGAACAGTATCCAAGTTATATCACGGCATGTCAGCTTAATGTGGGAGGAAAGCCCGAAGTGATGCAGGTCTCAGACGTTTACCACTTCGGTGAAACCCATGAGCACGGGTATGGTGCTGACAAACCTAGAAACATAACCGGGGGGAACCGGGATTCGAACCCACAATCATAGGTTTCTGGCGTGCCCAAGGGATGCAACTCTGCACAGCGAATCGGGGTGCCTTAGACGACTGGGCCACCTGTGCCACCAAATAATACCATTTGGAAATTCAAATAAAGTCTCAAACATGTATCACAAACCAGAAATGTTTCAGGACAAAAAAAAAATACCCTGATGCCAGACATTCAGACAGATTAATCCCAGAGCCAACCATGAAAACCTATATGCCTAATCTAACTAAACAACTGAGTCACTAATGCATGACAAATTATATGGTTTGATCAAAACACCAGGTGTTGGGTCAGCTCAATGAACATAAAACTATTGATATTTAGTCAACGCAGGTTTTGGAATGGTATCAGTTGCTTAGCAATACAATTAATTACATTTATACCTAAAAGGATCTGTCGCTGTGAACACATTTCCTTCATAGCAATTTGGTTACGATGGCTTATTGACAACTGGGAGATTTCATATGCAAATGATATTTGTGGCAAATTTAACATAGGAAATAACAAAATATCAAAAACATTTATCCAGCATATTATCATCAATGTTTCAATTATGCAAACACATAAATCAATTCACACTTAATGATTACGTATATACTCTTATTCAATTTGGAGAAAAATCAGTTTATCAGTTCTCATGTTCAGTGAATAAGTGAATAACATATACATAAATGAAAATACTTCAAATTAAGTTTGAGAATTTAAAAGCACAACGCATGCATCGAAAAGCGTGGTAAAGACATGTGAAGAAATGACTAAGTGTAAACAGTGTAAATGAGGTGATGAAACAAGAAAGGTAACAGTGCAAGCTTTACACAAACAAGCATACACATATGTGAATTAGAAAGTTTAAAGGAGATGTGCAAGAACTGGCTTCTGTTCTAAAACAGCCCTTCTACAATCTCCCAATATTAAGGCTTGTTTGGATATGCATTAGCAGTCTAAGTGATAGTTATATTTCAAGCTTCTGACGTTTCCATATTTGTAAGATGAGTGACGAAGATGCAAATATATATTTCATAAGCCGTGCAACCATGACTAAGAAATGATTGAAATGATAAAATTATTTAAGAATAATTTCATGTGACATTCCGTAATGTTTAGTGATTCATTGCAAACATGAATCCAGTTTGATACGAAAGTTTTTATCATGCTGAGGAAGATTTTGAAAAGGCAAAAGATTTAATTCATTCCTGAAAAATTCACCAACACCTTGAAATGCCTTCCTTAAAGCAACTGATGTTTCATGGCGTTAAAAGCCCAAAAGTTTGAATCCTGCATAATAAATAATTGATTCAAAATAAACAATTGTTAATTGAGTACACCAACAAAGCTTGCAGTATTAATATGACATAGTAATTCTATTACAATATCCCCTATGATGGAGAAGTCTTTGAATAGAGAACTCAAACATACCTATAAGTACTGAAATTTATAGAATGACACATGTATAAATATATGGTGCCATAAATCAAAAGTAATTTAAAAGGTCATGCACAAAATTTTCTACAATAACCAAAAAACCACTATTAAATATTTTAAAAATCATTTAAATAAAAACACCTAATTCACCAAAAAAACGTAAATAAAAAAAATCATGATTTCCAACCATGCAGCACAATACACAGAGAACTGAAAATTTAAATTAAACTGAAACCAAAGTGTTTTGACATCATGCCTGTACAACAAAATTGACCATTGGCGCCAAATGGCGCCAACTGATATCAAGCAAGAAGTTACATTTGAATACATACTGTTATAGTCTGGCCCTAAGCTGAAGATATCCTGGATCTCACAGCGGCGCCCCGCCCATTTTTCTGGACACCTGATTGGTGGAAGCAGCACGGGAAAGTGAGTATGGAGTGATGAAGACAGGATGAACAAATGGAGAGATGGAGTGATGAAATGCCATGTTACCAGAGAAATAATGAAACTGTCATTTTTTCAACACGAAAGCAAATCTGTATTGACAAACTTTTGAAATACTGACCAAAATACTTTCCCAAATAAGTCAATGTGTTTAAGAACAATAATCACGCTTAATAAAATAAGCATCACTGTTTCAAATATGTGTTTTTTATTAAAGATATTTTTTCTTTAACTTTTCGAAATACAATTATATAATTAATGTTCTCATAAAGATTTTAGCTAATTGTTGAAATAATGACAGCATTGGAATGAAACCACAAGCAACACGGCACGCAGATGACCTTGACCCTTGGCTATGTCACATGATCTGCTTGCAAGCTGGACACTGGTCGGATGAGTAAGCATGGCGCAAAAAGCCTTGCAATGCTAAAAGGTTTCATAATATTGCCACACAGAATATGACACCTAATAACACTGTGAGACTGCTGATCTTAATGGTAAACATAACAAAGCACATCAAAATATTGTACAAGATACAATAATACTGATATATGATTCTTATTTACAAAAACGTAAATGTAGATTTACTTGTCTCTGTTTTCTTGTAAAGTAAAAATGTAATTTATTATGAAGAACTGTTGATGAATCTTAAAAGCGCATGCTCATTTCACACACATGAAAAAAACATCTCACAATTTTGAAGCTCATGCACGAACTTATCCAGTTAAAAAATATTGCATTCATCTGGAGGCCTATGTTAGTTTAACATTTGGTCAATTTGAAACTAATCTTCACAGGTACAGTCCTTGATCTACTTTGTTATGAACGCCACATGGTCAGTGCTACAGCCGTTAGTAATTGATTAAATATACATATAATTCAGCAGTTCAAAACTAGGGGAGGTCATTCTTCTCGTTCAAGGTAAGTTGATCTTTAATCACAAATCTGCTTTGACAAAGTCAAATATTCAATACAAAATCTCTACAAAATAATTTTGAAAATAAAACTTTCCCATGCATAGTACAAAGTTAAGAATAACTCAGCACAATTAGTAAACAAAAATAAGTCATTTTTTCATGCAAATAACAAAAGGGAATCATGCAAAATGTAAAGATTAAAGCAAAAGTAAACATTTATCATTATTTTTCGTTCAAATTATTTGTACTATGTCTATCACAGGCCATGCTAAAGATCAACTTGGCCTCCGAACCTGGTCCGTAGAAGTATTTGTCATGCCTACCAGTCCCAATAACACTGGATGTTTCCAGTTCTTGACAGCGCTCACCCTTGAAAGACTCTGGGCATCTGTGTTAGAATTGGACATGTTAGAGGTGTCCACCACACACCAAGACACCCACCTGTCTGCCCATTGCCTAACACTGTAGACTGACATACCCACCTGTCTGCCCATTGGCTAACACTATAGACTGACACACCCACCTGTCTGCCCATTGGCTAACACTATAGACTGACACACCCACATGTCTGCCCATTGGCTAACAGTATACACCACAACACCTACCTGTCTTCCCATTGGCTAACAGTATACACTACTACACCTACTTGTCTTCCCATTGGTTAACACTGTAGACTGCCATACCTATACCTATCTGCCCATTGGCTGAACACTGTAGACTGACGCACCCACCTTTCTCCCCATTGGCTTACACTATAGACAGACACACCCACCTTTCTCCCCATTGGCTTACACTGTAGACTGATACACCCACCCATCTGCCAATTGGCTAACAGTATTCACTACTACACCAACTTGTCTTACCATTGGCTCAACAATATAGACTGACACATTTATCTTCTCACTGGCTCAATGTTTTAAACTAACACACCCACCTGTCTGCCCATTGGCTAACAGTATACACTACTACACCTACTTGTCTTCCCATTGGTTAACACTGTAGACTGCCATAGCTACCTATCTGCCAATTGGCTTGACACTATAGACAGACACACCCACCTATCTACCCATTTGCTAACACTGTAGACTGACACACCCACCTTTCTCCCCATTGGCTTACACTGTAGACTGATACACCCACCCATCTGCCAATTGGCTAACAGTATTCACTACTACACCAACTTGTCTTACCATTGGCTCAACACTGTACACTGACACACCCACCTTTCTCCCCATTGGCTAACACTATAGACTGACACACCCACCTGTCTGCCCATTGCCTAACACTGTAGACTGACACATCCACCTGTCTGCCCATTGGCTTACACTGTAGACTGACACATCCACCTGTCTGCCCATTGGCTTACACTGTAGACTGACATACCCACCTGTCTGGCAATTGGCTAACAGTATTCACTACTACACCAACTTGTCTTACATTGGTGCAACACTTTACACTAACATTCCCACCTGTCTCCCCTTTAGCCAGCACTCTCTTCCAATGTTGTGATTCTGACCAGAAACACCACTGCATTTTGAATTCAACAGAGATCCCTGAATAACTCTTGACTTCATCTGACATGAGACTCCATGAGCTTCTATGCATTACTTCTATTGTGTTAACACTGAATATGCATGACTCAGTGAGGTCTGCATGTCACGCCTTGCACAGCATGTCAATTTGATCCAACATGATAATGGTGCTGGCAGACCAAGACCACAATCACAATCCAGACATATATGGGATTCAAATCCATGACCAGACAATCCAGACCACACTTAGGGTTACCAATTGACACTGCAAATTGGGGTGGCTTTGATGGTTTGTTCCTCTGTGCCCACCTTGCAATGTCCAGACCAACTCAGCAAGATATACATGTTCATGACAAGCTACAAGAATATTCTAAAGCGCTTTTCACACCATGTGAAAGGTCATGTACTCTGAAATAGACATTTTCTGGCCTCTGACACTTAAGCCGCTATACTTTCATGTCCTTAAAAGTTTTTATTTATATAGAAATGAAAATGCATTCTGAAATCAAAAGGATATAACTAACATCCACCAAAAACTAAAATACATCCATTATTGAGACAAAGGAAATCTAATACTCCATATTACACTAAGATAGCTGAAGAAGAAAGATGTCTTTTACATGCACAGGAAGGAGAGTTCATGAAAAAGTCTAAAAAAGGTTACTGAAATGTAGGACTATAATACACTAACACACCTTTATAAATAAACATCCTAATGTTGAACCTATGTTACATAAATGACCATGGCTAAAGAATTAACTACATTACAAAGAAAGGTTTGGATTCAAAACCATAAATTTGGAATTCTATACACATCTGTAATGTTTATGTGGACAAAATGCAGCATTTTGAAAGACATACATGTTGTTAGTCCATCCCTCCACCCAATATTAATCCGACCATTCTAATATGAAGGTTAAGTAAACCCTGTGATACCATGTATGTGGAAGAATGAAACTGAATTAATGAAACTGTGAAACTGTGATGGTTAAACATCATCATCATCATCATCATCATCATCATCATCATTTTCTTGCATAAAAATTAATACAAACATTAACATAAATCTATTTTTCAATAAAAAACAAATCCGAATTTTAATTTTTCATTTCTTCCAAAGTAGTGAACATTGTAGAAAAAACATTTGATACACATTACGACAACATGCTTGAGGAAATGTACAGTTAAGTTCACGAGACTGAAACTCAACACAGAAATGTATACATTATGATAATGTTAACTGTGACCCACATGATCACTTTAACCTTGACCCACACATCTAATGTCTCACTTACTCGCAAAATTCTTTCTGTAAGCTGTCCATGTATCTGCATGTCCCTCCATTGAGACAATATGTCTGCTGTTTACATCGTCTATGCTTCAATGTTGGGGCCTTAACTGAAAAATACATGTAATGTAAGTTTCATTATTTTCATGAAAAATGACCAAAAAGTCAAAAAGTCTTTTTGCAGATGTGTATATCTTTCCATCCATCCATCCATCCAACCATCCCTCCCTCCCTCCCTCCATCCATAAATCAATCCATCCCTCCATCCATCATCCATCTTTCCCTCCTTCCATCATCCATCTATCATCCATCCTTCCATCATCCATACCTCCCTCCTTCCATCATCCATCCTTCCATCATCCATACCTCCCTCCCTCCATCCTTCCATTATCCATCCATCATCCATCCTTCTCTCCATCCATCATCCATCCTTCCATCATCCATCCTTCTCTCATCCATCCTTCCATCATCCATACCTCCCTCTCTCCATCCTTCCATCATCCCTCCATCATTCTCTCCATCCATCATTCCATCATCCTTCAATCATCCATACCTCCCTCCCTCCCTCCATCCATGAATCAATCCATCCCTCCATCCATCATCCATCCCTCCCTCCATCCATGAATCAATGCATCCCTCATCCATCATCCATCCCTCCATCCTTCCATCATCCATCCATCTCTCCATCCATCATCCATACCTCCCTCCCTCCAATCCATCATTCCATCTATCCAACCATTCATCATCCATCCATCGATCCCTCCCTCCATCCTTCCATCATCCATCCATCTCTCCATTCATCATCCATCCATCGATCCCTCCCTCCATCCATCAATCCATCTAAAACGTATCTTCCAAATTAGGCTTCAACAGTAGATATCACCTGAGTTCTGGCAATATCTCCTAGGAGATATTACTAAAATTGAATTGCATCACAATGCTTTGCAGACCATTGTGACATCTTTGGTTACCATTACATCACTAATCACTCTGACAGCGAAGCTGGCTACCTGTACGCTTTACCCTCAAGACAATAGTTATTACTGTCAACAAGCTGAAAAAGTTGGAAGAATGATTTTCTTCAATGCGTCACCTTCAATGATACTACTTTTCATTGACAACAACATGGTTATTGTTTGTTACTGTGGCTCGGTCTTGTTCTTCATCACATGAAAACTTAGTAATTGTATGCGAGGTGTTATCCATCAAAGTGTCATGTCTACATGTTCCATCTTCTAAATGCCTATGAAAGACTTGTATTCACCTGATTCAAAAACACGAACTACAGACATATGCAGAGTAAGCATTTCGGTTTAACGAGAACTGAAATTCTTCTAAAAATGTATGTCTAGAACCAAAGAGAATATAGCTTCTCATAACTCTTTCTTACAAAAGACGTCTAACAGATATCTTAGTTATATACATGCTTAGTGAAAGAAAAGTACCTCTTCAGTAACACATCAACTTCAAATGATGAATGCCTGATGGCTTAACTACTTACCAACACTTAATCACATTGAAAAACTCAAGTCTTGAACAAGGTATAAGGTTTTCTCATTCATTCAGAGAATACCCTGACAGTGTTTTACTGTTAGTCAAATTCAGTAGATCCATATGTGCAATTGACATCCAAATCTTTAACGTAAAATATTTCAATTCCTTCTACACCCAGTGAGTGAGTGAGTGAGTGAGTGAGTGAGTGAGTGAGTGAGTGAGGCTGGTTCCATACAATGAAGGTCATAACAAACCTTACCACCAAACACTCCACCTCACATTGTTTCATTGTCCTTGTATCTACAGATAGAGAAACACTTCACAATGTGCGTGCCTTCTTTCTTAACTTGAAATATACAATGTAGGTTACTAAGTCCAATCAAACATTCAGCCCTCATGTGAACAAATGCGACAAAATTCATTCCATGATGATAAGACATCTCTGCCAAAAGCAGAGTCCATGGTACGATTCCGACTATGTCAAGGTGTGTGTTCAGACAGTGGTTGGTTGGTTGTTTTGTTGTTTTGTTGTTTAATGCTGACTCAGCAATATTCCAGCTATATGACGGCGGTCTCTAAATACTTGAGTCAGGACCAGACAATCCAGTGATTGATATCATGAGCATCGATCCACGCATTAGGGATACAATGACATGCATCAACCAAGTCAGCGAACCTGACCACCCGATCCCATTGGTCACCTCTTATGACAAGCATAGTCGCCTTTTACGGCAAGCTCGGGTTGCTGAAGATCTATTCTACCCCAGATCATCACAGGTCTGTTCAGATAGTGAGGACACCAGGTGTTTTTCAAAAGGTGAATGTAACCTGCCCAACCACCGGCACCTTCGGCACCATCACAAATACATGCAAAGGCAAGTCAATTGTTTACATCCATGGACAATGAATGTATAGAGATGCCTTGGGAAGTTTGTTTAAAAAATAAAATGCCTCGAGTTTTAAAAATTTATTAAAGTTCTTGAGGCTTGTATGTTTCAATATGGTGACGTATACCAGGAATAAGGGGGAGGGGAAATGGGGCTTAACGTGCCTTTCAAGATTATTGCTCTTATACAGTGACGTGCATGAACCACTCAGACACAGTATGCCGACTCTGAGCCGACCAGTCTTTGTTTTACTACTTTCTACTATCTTTTAATGTCTGCGTATGACGCAACCAGGGATCTAACCACAGAACTTATGCACCCCAGGCAGATGCTATCCACAAAACCACGGAGGCAGTCAAGAATGAGGAACTGAACAAGGCACTTCTTCAAGATGATTAAACCACTGGGCTACCATGCGGCCTGTGTTTCATTAACCCAGAAAAAAATCTAATATGCAACTCCATAAAATATTTTAAGATGTTCGATTGGCCAGTATCAAATAATGCCTTATTTGTTCCTGATATAGTAATATTGTTATATCAGGAACTCGAACAACAGTGGTAGGAAAACACTACCCTGCTTTCAGAACAACTAATATTGTCTCAGCTGGACCATCCAGAATACATAATAATACTAACTGCCAACATTAATACCCATGGACACAGCTGGCGTTTCAGGTGTGTCCACCTCTACACACACACCATTCCGTGTTTGTGGTACAAGGAGGACAAACCCTTCCCATGGTGCATTGCAAACAATAGCATTGATTGGCTATCAATCCCTCACACAATCGCATCCCCGCTCTGTAGTAAATGACTACAATACATTATTAGGCATCTCAACTTCATGTCTATTCTTGTGTTGATCAATACATGACATATTTATTCTTCTATTTCGTGTATAGATCGAAGTCAAAAGTCGGAGGAAGCAACGCTGTGTTCTTTTTCAACAGGAGAATTACCTGCTGGTTCCAATCATTCAACAACATCATAGAGAGCCTTACATTTCTAAGAAAATTGATTTTGGTATTTTATGTGAACAAGTCAAGTAATGTTTTTAGATATGTGAAGGGTCCATTTGGTGATAGCCAATATGTGATGTACTAGCCTCCTTTACATTCTGCCTACTAAGTTCTGATCAATGATACTTAATAGAGTCAGTTTATATGCACAATATTTATACCACTTGATGCAACTGTGCTAATTCTGTAACGATTACCACTGAGGGTTGGTCTTCAGCAACCAGTGCTTGTTGTAAGAGGCGACTGACAGGATTGGGTGATCAGGGTCCTGACTTGGTTGATGCATGTCATCGTATTACAATTGTGTGGATCAGTGTACATGATGTCAATCACTGGATTATCTGGTCCAGACTCAATTATTTACAGACCGCCTCATATAGCTTGAATATTGCTGAGTGCAACTTTAGACAACAAACAAACAAACCAATATGCCATCATTGCATCAGCATTCTGACCATATTCACTACTTCTTGACTTTATTTGCCCTGAACCATCTTTAACAGGAGTGCAGCATAAAACAACAAACAAAACAATATGTTACACAAATATCTTTTCTCTTAGCTTACTGAAGATTATGAATGATAATAATCAGTCACATCCAAGCAGAATGTCAGCTTAATACATCAGGAAAGCTTAATGTTACACAGGATCAGGACCTTGGGTTAGAACCCATGATCCTGGTATGGGAAAGGGACATAACCCCGCACAACAAGTTGCACACCATAGAACAAAGAGCCAACCACAACTAATATAACCAAATTTTAAGTGACAAAATCATTTTTCTCAACTGCTCTATGAATCATTTATAGTCCTTCCTGCATGTAATTTTATGTCTAGGAAGAGATTATAGTGCTCATTTATATTTATCTGTCCATGAAAACGCCTTCTATTTATTCTTTTGATGTGTAATGGGTTGATTACACACACTGTAATTAAGTAGTAACATTCGCCTTGAAACAAGGGAAGGACCTGGAAGGCAGACCCGGAGTGCTAAGTGCACAATATATCCAGGTCACAAAGACACCTGGCCAGGGGCGCAGTTAACATGTAAAGCGTCTGAAAAAAGGAGCGTGCACGTCACCTGCATCCTCTCCCCCCATCCCCACCACCCCCGCTGGTTCCGTGGTCTCTAATTCTATCTAGGTTTGAGAAAATACAAATCAGATTTGAAGCATGAGCTTCTGTTGAGCACACCCTTACCAATCCTAAATCTCATCAAACACTAGGGGGCACAGATTTGAATTTTTTTTAAAAGACATCTTTGCAGCACAGGAGTGTGACGGAAGGAATTGGCGTTAAGATCATCGAAGTGTAAAGTACAGATACATCAATGTGGAGGTGTAACCAACATCATGATGTGACGGCTGACATTCAACAAGCCTATCCATACCCACAATACATGGCTCTTATGACGAGAAATTCATAGGAGATCATCTGGATGGTGTTTGAAAATCTGAATATTCAAGGCGTAAAATATTGATGACTTAAACAGGACTTAATCTAACGATTATATCCGTGATCTGTAATGACCATGCCTTCTCCAAGTTCCAATACCCAAACAGTTTTTCAAGACAACAAGTCTATGTTCACCATCAATTCCTGTCACAGAAGCAAATACACATAAAACAGAATGGCTGTAGTAGTTTTGAAGAAACTATGGCTATTACAAACCAAATCACAGCATGAGGCTTTTTCTTCAAGACAAGTG